AAGATGACGTGCTCTTATGGCTATCCACGCGGGCATATAAATACCCGCGTGTGTAACCAACATAGCTCCCTGTATCGCACAGGTTACATTTAAATTGGTACACTACGCACGCGATATTAAATCGCTCGTTTTTACCTGTCTATGTATTACTAAATCTTTGTTAATGCAAATCTTGTTTTGATATACTTAATGATAAATCTAAATTCAAACTACTAGACAAAGATCCCACTTTATAAAGAGAAGGCAGACTTAAACGTTTCATTAGTTTAGTTAAGAAAAAGCATTCTATTGATAATGATACCTATACTAAGATTTTTCCCAAGGGTTCACAACCAGCAAAATTTTATGGCCTTCCCAAATTACATACGAAACGTGAAAATCACAATCAACCACCTCTTAGACCTATTGTATCTTCTCTTGGAGCTTATAATTATAATTTACCCAAGTATTTAAGCTCTCTTCTTTTACCTAGCAAGTATTCGGTCAGAGATTTATTCTCTTTTGTTGAAGAGCTCAGAAGTTTCGATCTTAGCAACAAGTTTCTCATTTCCTTCGATGTTGAAAGTCTTTTTACCAATACTCCGCTTCATGAAACTATCGATATTGCTGTTGATCTTATTTTCAAGCATGACCCTAATTTTTCGATTTAAAAATCCGACCTTAAGAAACTGTTTTCATTCGCTACAGCTGAGACTCATTTCCTTTTTAATGGAAAATTCTATGATCAAGTTGATGGGGTAGCGATGGGTTCTCCGTTAGCACCCATCCTAGCTAATCTTTTTCTTGCTTTCCACGAGGAAACATGGCTAAATAATTTTAACCACTCGATTCACCTTCTACTTTATAGACGTTATGTTGACGACACCTTTTGTGTCTTCCACAATAAACAGGATGTTATGTCATTTTTTGATTACATTAATTTCGAAAAAGAGAGTGATGGTAAACTCTCCTTTCTTGATATATTTATCGACAACTCTTCGAATGATTGTGTTTATTCAGTTTTTCATAAAAAAAAAACCTACACTGGTCTCCTAACAAATTTCTTTAGTTTTATTCCATCATGCTAGAAAATTGGCCTTATCCGAACTCTTATTGACCGTATCTACAAAATCAACAACACCTCTTCCGGCCTTCAAAAGGATCTTAATAAACTTTCCGACACTTTAAAACGTAATTCTTTTCCTTCGCATATTATCGAAAGAACTTTCAAGCGGTATCTTGACGGGTCCTCCCCTCAAAATAGCCGGAACATTCATGACAATGATACACGTTACTTTAAACTCCCTTTTGTCGGCTATTATTCTAAAATAGCGAACCTTAAACTCCGACAACTCACTAAGCGCTTTTGTAAATCAGACCTAAATATCAAACTGGTTTTCACCTCCTTTAAAATTAAAAACATGTTCAAAGATCGCACTCCTGATGCTCTAAAATCCATGATAGTTTATCAATTTTCTTCTGCGGGATGTAATTCCCGTTATATTGGCGAAACTAGTCGCCACTTTTCTACTAGGATAAAGGAACACACGGAAAGCGATAAAAACTCGCATATTTTTAAGTCTTTCAACACATCTCCTTATAAGAACAAATACTCCCTTTCTTGCTCTAGTATTCTGGATTCTGCTAACAACTCAATTGATTTAAAACTCAAAAAAGCTTTCTATATAAACAAGATCAAACCTGAACTTAACAAACAATTACAGCATTATAACACTTTTCTAGCGTTTTAGTTCACACCTTTGATGTTTGGTGTCGCGTTGTAAATATTTTATTCATCTACTTGTCTGTTATGTAATTACTCACGTTCAGTTACTCATTGATTGAAGATGGTATAAGCATGCCGAAACATGTCTCAAAAAAGTTGTCTATTTCTTACAATAAGAGAAGTATTGTGCTGTTAGAGTCGTGATGCACATGACTATGAAGGGGAACGGGGAATCTACGAGACATTGGAGAAGAAGGAACGGAATGAACGTGTGAAACTTACTGCGACACAAAATAATAAGTTCCTACCTATAGTAGTTCGCAGCACCTGAGTTCATCTCTTTGATGCAATCTTCAACAGAATTCCACTGGAAAAATAACACAGAGTCGCAAAGAAGAACATTTAGTGGTTTGTTCGCAGCGAGATAGCACAAGCTGATGAAGTAATTGAATCATTCACAAATCGTTTCGTCCAAATCAAATTCACAATGAAAACACCAAAGTCACACAGGGACCGACTCTTCTTGTTGGGACCATTTGGGCGTTCAATAATGACGAACACACGGCATGGTTAATAATTACTGATCATATACTCGATATCCTTGGAGTCCTTCACTTCATTGCAAGCACCAACGCTTACATACTATAAACTACTACACGTGAATCAAACTCCTGCTTTGATAGGGACACTTTGAGATCGGTAAAGGAAACCTAATATTTACTCTTGGTCCCTGAAATTTTATTCATTTGTTCCAACACGTTTATCATAACAGATAAGTATCAATACCTCTTCCTCAATTAGACATAAAGGCCTCGATCTCTCTTTCAGAGTCCGAAGAAGCGTCCAACAAACTTCATGCAAAGAGAAATTTCCTTTCTGTAACACCTTGCTCATGTCAGAGATGGGAAGCGCCAACAAAAATGTCCTTTTGAACAGTGGGTCGAGCTCAAACATGGATGAAAGTTGATTTTGGAGAAGTGCTGGCGTATTAGCTTTTTCACTGTGCAAACACAAAAGAAAAAGACATTGGAAAACTTTGAAATTCGGGTCACAGGTCTTAGAGCAACTGCCAGAATAGACAGGGACTACACTTTTTGGGCGGTACAGCAATATGGTGTAAGCCCCTGCCTGTCAGGCAGGAAAACATAAATAATTTCGACCGCGCTTTTTAGTTTTAACCATCTAAGCTAACATTTTCAAGGCTCCACAACAAACTTTATTTAAATGGTTTGGAATTGTAAACTCTTAGCTGAAGTTCTATTGCCACCGTCAGCCTGACTTGCACCTTAATGAGGCGTGAAAATGAAAATGTCCCATTCAAGTACTCAGTTGTACGAGGAAAATCTGACCTTGTATTGGAAACTTGTTGTCGAACTCGTTGAAAGTCTGGCAGGTCTTCTGTTCCCCACCACGAGTTGTCATCAAGTGAGCTCGGGGCTGCTGGAAGCTGTCCCCCTAAGAATGGTTCCGCTGACTTCGATAGGAAATGAAGTAGGGGAACAGCAAACAACCAATAAAATATGCCGTCCTTTTCCTCAATTACGTATCTGCACATTCTTTTCAAGTCGTCTGCCATTGTCCTAAAATTATGCAAGAAGTGAGATATAATACCACATATCATATGACGATAATTTAAAAACTCAATGAAATTACCTCAAACGGATGTGGTAAACACACAAGTTATGAATAAGAGTTAGTAGATTTTATTTTACAGCATTGTTTCTGTTTAGACGCTGGGATTTCTCCACTGCTCTTCACCGCTGAAAACTCACAGTTTTCTTTGCCTTACAGCCGTGATAAATAAGTAAAATCTGCCTTTACACCGCCTCCCGGCTAGCTCGATTGGTTAGAGCGCCGGACTGTTTTGCAGGAGGTCGAGAGTTGGAGGCACTTGGAGCCCCGGCCGGACCAACACTCAAGGTCTTAAAAAAACGGAGGAGAATGTGCCACCTTTCTATAATATCAAGAAATGGATAGACATTCTAGTCTTCTCGGATAAGGACGAATAAACCGTAGGTCCTGTCTCCTACATCTATCAATTAATTAATTTGGTTAGGCAGGGGACGTTAAAGAACCCACTCACGAGATTACGGTGATGTGGTCTGGCCTGTTTACTGGGAATTGGGGGGAGGGGGCATCTTTCAACTTCCTTTGATTGATACCGGCTGTAAACTGCTTCATGCAGTCCCGCTAAAGTCCCCCGAAAGTGTTGTAAATTAACTCTGGAAAGCCCCTCGGGGAGAATTAATAATAAAGTATTCTATTCCCTTTGAGATATCAAGAATCGCGATAGGCCTGACAAAATATCCCGAAAAAAAGAAGACGAAATAAGAGTGAAGTAATTTATTTGTTTTCAAACCTCTGTCCTTCCGGAAATTGTTGCAGAAGCCCTTCTAACTCCATGCACTTCTTCTGCATTACATTTCCATGCATTACGAGATTTTCCAGCATGTTCTTTAGCAAGGGATCTCCTATAAAAGTCATGCGATGACGAACACACAGGGACGCGATCATGACAGATGTAACTAGTCGTTTGACTTGAGCCTGCTCGTCTTTGGTTTGGGTTTTTTGCACTTGAGTGTTAACATTCAGCCGTGGAGACAGGTATTCGAATAACACCTTACCATACAAAAAGAAAAAAAAAATACAGACATAATTTTGCGCAAAGTTATTCCTTTCGATTTTTCTGTTGATCTTCAAGGATGTGAAAGGGTGATTGGAAGATACATTATGTACAAAAAGACTAACTATACTTTTCCAAGGACATTGCTTGCCAACTACAGTTCAATATTGCGGTTGTTGCTAAGCTTTAAACTTTAAATCTGGTGATGATCTTGGTTACATTATAACTATGTAGCCACATGATTATCTCTCTTTCAACTGCAGATTAAAATCCTGAGTCAAAACTTGAGACCTAAAATTTTACAGGTCATCCAGTTCACAACATTAACCCTGTTCAACGCACGTTTGTATGGCAACACTAACCTTCATGACATCAAAAGTGACAAAGGTACGATGGTAAAAGTACACGCCATTCTCCACCTCTTGATTCCCCATGCAGTAGACCACATCGTTTATTCGAGTCATAGCAGTTGACGCAGTAAACCCTCCTTCACAAGATGAGATACTGTCCCAATCGGGTAACATGGCCAGCATCGCCATCCTTCGACCTTCTGCGGGATCTAAAACAACCTTTTTCAACAAAGGTATACGATTACAAATGGAGTCCCACAATCCAGGTTCATTGAAGACAGCGTCATCATATTGGTGCCAGATTGCTGCAAATTAAGGTTCAGGTTATAAACGCAAATTACATTCATTTTGATAACTATGTTAAAAAAATATTCAGTGAATGAGTAAACTTTTCGGAAGGTAGGAAAAAAGAGTTTCGCGTAGATGTGACTAAGAGGTGATCACGTACACCTACATAAGTACTAATACGAAGGCTGAAAGGGAAAAAGCAAAGTATAAATCAATTACTCAAAATTATAGAAGTATAGTGATACTAAAGAGGTCGTTACTCAGGTTTGACCCACTCAAAAGTTTATATTGTGAAAGGTTTAACGGTGAATGTAATTTCAATTTTTGGAAAGACCGTGAGAGGAACTAAAAAGCGATCATGATGATGATGACGGTGACGGTGAAAATGGCAATGATGCTGATGCTGACGAGATGATCCATGACCCATGATTTGTTCTTGATTGTCCCGAGTTCATTGCCTTGACTGTGCTTTGTTTATAGCATGACGATCTGCCTCTTCTCAGTTGGCCGGATTTTTATCCACTATGTTTATTTATAATGTTTGTTCGTATTGGCCTTGGAAGGCCCCTTTGGGTAGTGGCGATTCTCACTATCATTTGCATCATAAATATCCCAACCTCAGCTTACCGTTATTGTTTATAGAGTCCCTAGGAATGAATAATGAGCGGTTCACATGATAATTGGAGACAGGTCTGCAACCAAGGAGGCATTCCCACATATTCTTTGGCGGAGTATTTCTCCCTTTAGTTCGAGATACAACGTATTTATAGGAAATCCTGAGAAAAGCCTGTGGCAGAGTCATTCTTGTCGTCCCCTCCAATTCAAAGTGGCCATCGAATACTTCTCTGTAAATTATGGAAAAGATTAGTTTTATTATTAGAAACTCATTGTAAGCATTTCTTCTGTGACACAATTGTCATGTTTTAATACATTTTAAAACATACCTGACAGTGCGGACAGCGACTTGATGCTGCTCGTCCCATGAAAACGGATAGTTTCCACGAATGAAAATCCTATCGCCTTCTTCATGGTTGTACTGAAACGTTGGGGTTAACAACGCATGGAAAATGACGGTTACAAATTCTTTATCTGAATTGTAACCATTCTGTTGTGTACCATTGTTAGGGACACTGCCATGACTTGCTGCACCGTTCTCACCAGAGTGAGACTGTGTTTGTGTTTGAACCGGTGGTATCCCTTTACTTCTGTCTCCTGGTGCATCATGTTCCTGGATGTCCAAGGGTGGACTAGTATCTTTAAGCTGGCCAGGAGGCCGGCCAGGGGGCACCTCTCTATCAACGATTTGTTCAGTCAAACCTTGTTCAGTAGATTCATCTTGATTTTTAGTCTGAATGTCTGTAGATACCTGAAAAACCACGAGAAATAAATCGAATCAGTAATGGTAGTTATGGTACTCACACAAGCAGACATAACCCGCACGCTATTACTAACTTCTACTACATCCCTGTGTATCATAATTTCAAGATGACTGGGCCTTTGAAGCCACAAAGAACTATTGGTGAGATGTAGAGACATCCGATCTGTAAGTTTGCACTCCGGTGAGTCCGTCACTAACAATTGTGGCTACCAAGGTTTTTATCTATTCATGTCAAGAACTCCTTTTAAGAATAAATTCTAGTTCAACAGACGCTAACTCTTAAACATTGCAGCCGTTTCACTTTCACCAAAAGACGTTTCCGGTTTTTCGGTAGCCTCCTGCTCCATAGCTTCTTCTGTGTTTGAGGAAATTGTCGTGCCAAGAAAATGGCTTGCACCTTCATTAGCTGCTCTTTTGGAGTCACTCACCGAGAATTTTCCTGGTTTAACTGGAAAGTCAACAGGAGCAGCTCCTTGTTGTTGAGGGGGTTGGATCTCATTCAGATTGGACGGACTGTTGACACTGTTCTGGCCTGACAAACCGTCTCTTGTAAATTCACCTTTGCTGCTTTTGACGGCTTCAGTGACTGATTCCGTGACAACAGGTGCTTGGCTAGAGTCATCAGAGCACTGATCAGGGGAAGAATCAGGTCTACTTTGAGACACCTCTGGTGAGCCATGGTGATCTGCTCAAGGAAATTTTACACATCTTGAGGCAATCTTAAACCTCCAAAATTGAAAAATCTTACATTCTGTAAAAACCAGTTGTTAAAGACGACAATGACCTTAATGTCAGCTTTCTCATGTACTGAACATTGAAAGTTCTTTTATTAAGATATGGGACTGCTGTTCCAAATAGCCACTGGCTTGGGGAGTACTGAGCTTCCTATCATGGCGAAGGGTTTAACTGATCTAATCATGTACTCAAGTTTAGATTTTAAGCAGAGCACGCATAGCTTCTTTTTGGTTTCCAGTCGCTCCAGCCTTGACTTATGATCATTAAACTCTAATCTACCGAATACATATCGCGATGCAACAGCACAAATGCATAGCTACGTGTCACTTTTTTCCTTCCATCTTTTGCGTCTATGAATTTTAACGTTTACAGTAAAATTCGAACGACCGCACTAACCCTTCAAAAGAATGAAAACAGCAAGTCTTCAATATAGGCTATATCTGTATTCCTCTTTATACTGTCTAGACTATTTAATCTAAAGTCAACTGGATCCAAATTATAATCTGTCTAATGCAAATTTGGTACTGATTTTCATTATCTGCTTTGCATGGGCATTTGCTGCTACCTATCTAATTCTCTTTCACGCAGCCTCAGTAAAATTTGGGTCGCCATTTCTTTCTAAGCTTGCAATATTTAACAGTTTAAAAAGAAAAATACGACTAAAAAATTATAAAAATCAATTAAAAAAATAATTATACTCATGAAAGTCATTTAGTCACAATGCTGTTTTCGTAATCATACCTATAAAATTAAGCGGGAAAACATTGCTGTCTGAGAGTTTTCGGAAGGGAATAATATCTTGTTGCATTCGCCAAAACAGATCAGCAACACTAAAAATCTCGCTTTGAAACAGCTGACCCTGATTTCATGCAGAAAACTGAAACTCAGCGAACTTATTTGCGATTACACTTGTAACATGTCAACCATTTTATAAGGAGGAAGGCGATCTACGACTCTCCAGTCATCTCCTTCGTCAAAAGAAAAACCTATTCTGGGTAAAATACTGGCATTGGTCAAATCTCTCTCACATTCTAGTGAAATGTACCGAAAAAGGTGTCTATTAAGGGATTATTCGTGACGACATGAACCCAATGTCGCCTAAACAGAGATAAGATGTCTCGTCTCGCTCTGTGTTCAAATTTCTCCGTCGATAAAAACATTCGTTGTGTATCCCGTATTTAATTTTTCAAAAATGCAACACCGGTTTTTTCTTCTTTTCATTACTTACTCCGTAAAGTACACAGCACATACAATCGCGTGATCGCATGAAGTTTCTCTTTTAGTTTCGATACTTCCGTCCCCCACCCCTCGTTGAAACCAATTAATCAATTCACAAGTTTCAAACATTCACAACACTCACACAATTAGCTTCGTCTGCACTGAGGAAGCTCTCAGTGATGGTAAGCGTCCGTGATTGCTTTAACTCTTCTCGTATAGCCGTCGAATATTAAAAAGATATTCTTGTCGCTTGTATCTGACCCGTGACATTAAGTTCGTGTTGTCGTGTCGCATCTCGCTCCACTTCTAAGAGGGCTTTACAAAGAAAAACTCTGCAACTCACCTGAAGTAGCTGTAAACTGCTCAGGGCTGGTATTCGACACTGTTGAAGTTCCTGATGATCTTACAACAGCAAGTTTGAAGCCGCAATTGTAGCAGAAGTGATGATGTTCTTGCAGTTCGGGGTTCCCACAAGATGGGCACTTCATCGTGACACGAAATGCTTCTGAAACTACATGTCTCGCTTTGATGAAATGTTCTTCTGCTAAATTCAGTGTTACGCAAAAAAGTTCTTCTTGCGATGTCGATCTGGAGTGGAATCGTTGTGTGATCAACTGCAATGTTTTCCACTAAATGTTGAATCGCTTCCGCGAAATGCAACTATATAGCTTCGTAGGCCTCGGGGAATTTAATAATTCCCAGAAATCCCTCTGGTTGCGGAAGTCGATTTCACTTGTCGCTGTAGCTTTAAACATATTTAAAGCTTCTTAAGAATATTAGATCAAAAATCTGAAATCCACGAGGAGAATTGACCATCTGAAGAGTTTTCAAAGTTGATTCAATTTAGTTTTGAAGAAAAATCTGTCTATAGCGTCGATAAGATTTCCACGAAATGCCACGATTATTAAATAAAGCTATCCGGGTTTCTAGGAAATCAAGCGGAAGTCGGTTTGCTGAATTGACCAAGCGTGCTTTCGTAGTACAATATAATTAATACCTTGTGGATGTTGGTTCTTATTTTCAAATTCAAGATTACAGCCAAAGAATGTTAAAAATAAATACTGACGAATCGTTTACAATTTTACAACGTGCATTCCAACCACAACACACAGGTAAATTAGTTGAGTGTTTTACATAATTTATCGCTCCAATAAATAGATCAACAAAACAAGCTATTTACATTTCTCTATCAAGATCTTATCATCGATCTGACAGCAGTAGCCTCTTTAAATTACAACTCGTCTGGTGGAAGAGCTCATGTGGGTCTTGTGGTAATAAAAAGAACTATTAAAATGTTTAATTTGGATATATCAACAAAGTTGAAATGGTAAATTGGCCACCGTAACGATTACAAAAGCTGACGTTTCGAGCGTTAGCCCTTCGTCGGAGCGAGTAGAGGAATTGTGGGTTGTGTGCGCTTTTAAAGGTAGCACGAAAAGTCGTAAAACTCTTGAACAAAAGCTCATCTTTCAAACCGGCAGTCTGAATCCCACAGGGATCAACGAACGCTTTTGATTCCACTAATTTATTCGTGTTTTTCTTGTTGCCATGTTCCCACCAATAACGTAGCTCCATTTTCTGCCTTTAAAAGCACACACAACCCACAATTCCTCTACTCGCTCCGACGAAGGGCTAACGCTCGAAACGTCAGCTTTTGTAATCGTTACGGTGGCCAATTTACCATTTCAACTTTGTTGATATATCCAAATTATTTCGTTACTCCCACCGACGCAGCCCCAAACAGTTTCTTTCGAAACTATCAGCCTTTATTTA